CACGACAATAGAGTGAAAGGAGAAACTTACCTTGTTGTTAACCGAACGAGGCGACAAGCAACGTGGGTTAGCGACCGACTCCGGATAGCCCACGACAATTAGTGGTGAACCGTGAGATTCGAATACCAACAAATTGAGAACGACGTTCGTTTACCCCCGATAAACTAAATAAACACCATATTAGTAAAACGTTGATCAATTAACAAACCTTAATCCCTTTGCTTATCACCCGTGATTAGCGAGATTACAAATCGAAAATGGTGTTAGATTTCGATTTGCAGAACAACAAAAGTAGTTTCGATGATCACCAAACCCACCATTGTCTGCAAGACATACTACGGGAACTAGCGGAAGCTCTCGTCGATCTCGCGGACCCAAATGCAAGAACGTGAAGAAGGGGGATAGGGAAGCATGACGAAATAGGGTCCGCAAGTTAAAGAGAAAAAGAGGGAGGATCCGTACTCGTGGCTGGAGTGGTACGAGGGGTTTGCAGAAATCAATGGTTGGATGAGTGACGAAAAGTTAGGGCGAGTGTTTTATTACCTGGAGGGACACGCAGCGGACTGGTACGAAGTCTGCCAGGATAGGATCTTCGGCTATTGGAACAATAGAAGCGACCGTAAGAAAAGTTTTGTGCCAGCCTTCCTCTGATGCTTTGTAACGCTTGAGTAGCGATGGCAGTGGCTGTCAGAGCTCGTGAAACTAAAACAAGGCAAGGATGAGAAAGTTGTAACCTATGCCCAACAATTTTGGGATCTACTGAGATTTCACCGCCGTGCTACGAGCATAGAGTCGGCGGTGATTCACAGTCAGTTTATTTCACCGCCGTGCTACGAGCATCGAGTCGACGGTGATTCACTGTTTATTTCACTGCCGTGTTACGAGCATCGAGTCGGCACGACGGTGATTCACAGTTTATTTCACTGCCATGTTACGAGCATCGAGTCGACGGTGATTCACAGTTTATTTCACAGTTTATTTTACCGCCGTGCTACGAGCATCGAGTCGACGGTGATTCACTGTTTA